TGCTGCTGCTGCAGCAGGGTTGCTGCACCTGTTGCTCCTGCTGCAGCAGCAGCAGCAGCAGCAGCTGAATGCATATTGCATGGAGGTGGTGAAGGGAGAGAGGGAAGCAAGACTTTAAATGCGAGGGACAGAGAAGAGACAGAGACAGAAGAAGAGACAGAAGAAGAGACAGAAGAACTCATCTCTGTTGTGCAGTAACAGAGACAGAGACACGCACACCCGTCTTTGTCCAGCAGCAGCAGCAACAGCAGCAGCAGCAGCAACAGCAACTGCTGATGCTGCTGCTGCTGCTTGAGTTTGTTTTTGTATGCTAATGAGGAGGATACAGCTACAGTTGTTGTTTATACACAGCTGCTGCATGCATGCGCTTGCGGTGTACGTACACCGCACGGGCGAAGCAAGAAGAAGGGATCTAAGGGAGAGGAGACAACAGATTTGTTTACACTTCAGCAGCAACAGATGCAGCAGCAGCACCTGCTGCTGCTATCGCTGCAGCTGCTGCAGCTGCAGCAGCAGCTGCTGCTGCAGTAGCAGCTAGCCTTTTGCTTTGTTGTGCCTGGGGTTTGCTGCTGAGGGCGGCCTACCCCGCCTATGCCTTCCACGCTGCAGCAGCAGCAGCAGCAGCAGCATTTTGGGGTCATGCTGCTGCTGCTGCTGTTGCTGCTGCTGTGGGGCATTGCGCTGCTGCAGTCTGGTGCTGTGGGGATCGGGATCGTCTGTGGGGATCGGGATCGTGTGTCCCTCCCTCCTCCCTCAGCAGCAAATGCGCTCCTGCTGCCGCAGCAGCAGCAGGTGGCTTGGCTGCTTCAGCAGCAACAGCAGCAGCAGCAGCAGCAGCAGCAGCAGACCCTGCTGCCCCTGCTGCTGCTGCTGAAGCAGCCAGCCCAGTGGAGCAGTTTTTGATGTTTGTTCGAATAAAATAATAAATTGCGTGTCGAAGTAGATGCAGCTTCAGGTGTACAGACACCCCGAAAGCCCTATTAGGAGCAGCAGCAGCAGCAGCAGCACCAGCAGCAGCAGGGACAGCAGCAGCAGCAGCGGCAGCAGCGGGAAAGATTAGTTAGGGGGTATTTGTCTTCTTGTAAAAGCAAAGATGAGAGACAAACAGCCTTAGAGGCCCCCTCTGGTGTATTATTATAAACAGAGACAATACAGCAAAAGTAATACAGCATATATTTATTAATTTATTTATTTATTTTTATTTATTTTTTTAATTTGTAGTACAGACGTACACCGTAAAGATGTCTCCATAATATAATCATATGCACACCGATAATGTACATGTAATATATATATATATATATACATATATATGTATATATATATATATATATATTAGGTATTATATATATATATATATTGGTAATTTTGTAGATATATTTGAATGTAGATTATCTATTATATATATATATGTATATATATAAATGTATTATAGATTATATACATGCATGTTTATTATATGCGGTGTATGTACAGCGTCTGCTGCGTACGTACACTGCACCTCTGTACAAAGACCCACAGGCTTGTAATACATATATATATATATGTATATACGTATATATATAATATATATATAATGCATATGTATAGATAATATATATATATATATATACATATAGATAACAAGCCTATGTATAATATATATAGGAAACGTACACATATATGCTTACTATAATAATAGGTAGCACTATATATATATATATATATTATATATATAATGCATATACATAATGCATATATATATTATATATAGTATACAACATATAGTGTACATATATGTACATATATATATATATATATGTATATACATATATATATATATATATATATATATATATCGGTGGATACAGCATAAATAAATTTACAATAAAAAATACATTTAAAAATATTCAGAGGATTTTTTCAGATAATTTTATTTTTTTTGTTTTATTAAAAAAAACGGCTGCATGCATGCAAACGCAAAGCTCGTTGCTGCTCTGCTGTTGCTGCTGCTGCTGTTGCTGCTTCTTCTGCTGCTCCTGTTGGTGTTGCTTAGGTTGCTGCTGCTGCTATTGGTGCTGCTGCTGGTGAGTTACTGTTGCTGCTGCTGCTGCTGCTGCTGCTGCTGCTGCAGTGTGGGGTTACAGCAGAGTCTGCCTTAGCCATAGAAAAGACATTCTTTAAGTAAATATATGTTTATATTTTTATTTATTCTTATGTCTGTATTTATATTTATATTTAAAGTTTATATTTATATTTATTTATTGAAGGAAGAGTGAATGGGTATTAGGATGGTGCTGCTGTTTGTTTTGCTGCTGCAGCTCTCAGCGGTCTCTTTGTCCCTTGTGCTGCAGCACGCCTCGCAGCAGCAGCAGCAGCAGCAGTAGCCGCAGGTGCTGCTGTTGCTGCTGCTACTGCTGCTGCTGCTGTTGCTGCTGATGCTCGCTGCGTTGCTGCTGTTGCTGCTGCTATCAGCGGCGTTGCACCCCGCTTCCGCAGCAACGCCCCCCTTCTTGCTGCTGCTTCTTCTCTCTCTTTATCTGCTGCTAGCAGCATCTGCTGCAGCTCTGGTGTTAACGGCTTTATACCGCAGCAACCGGGGGCCCAGCTGTCTTGCTTCCCTGGGCGAGGCATAGGGGGTATATCAAACACACACCCTTGAGGGCCCCCTTGGGGGCCCCCTTGAGGGCCCCCTTGAGGGCCCCCTTGGGGACCCCCTGCTTCACGATCCCTAAGGGGGCCCCCTGCTTCGTAAGGCCTTTGGGGGCCCCTTGAGGGGCCCCTAGGGAGATACCCTTGGGAGGTTCCTTCTTTGGGGGCCTCACCTTGGGGGGCCCCTGTTTGGGGGGCCCCTGTTTGGGGGGCCCCTGTTTGGGGGGCCCCTGATTGGGGGGCCCCTGTTTGGGGGGCCCCTGTGGGGGCCCCTGATTGGGGGTCGTATAGGGGGCCCCTGTGAAGGGCCCCTTGGGGGGCCCCTTGGGGGGCCCCTTGGGGGCCCCCTTTCTGCGTTTGGGTGCAGCAGGGTGGGTCTCCTGGGTCTATGGTGAGGTTAGAGAGACGAAGGATATCAAGGAGACACCTGGTTGTTGCTGCAGCAGCAAGACCAAAGCACTGTCTATCTGCTGCTCTTTTATGTAGCAGCGCAGCACCTGCTGCAATAATATCATCAATTGCTGCTGCTGCTGCTGCTTCTGCAGGGGTTTGATCTTCGTCTGCTCCTTCGTGCTTCCTCCCTTTTGGTGATATACCTGGGGGCCCCCCTCGGGGGCCCCGCTGCTTTGCTGCTGCTGCTGCTGCAGTTGAAGCAGCAGCAGTTTTTGCTGTTGTAGGAGGAGACATAGTTTATAATACACAGTTAGTTCCTAGCAGCACATTGCCCATGTAAGCAGAGTTGCTGCTGCTGTTGCTACTGTTGTTTTGTTGTTGCTACTGTTGCTGCTGCTACTGTTGTTTTGTTGTTGCTGCTGCTGTTTCTACGGTTGTGTTGTTGCTGCTGCTGCTGCTGCAGCGTTGTTGTTCTGCTGCTGCTGCTACTATAATGCTGTTGCTACTATAATGCTGCTGCTAGCTATATAATAAACACTAAACAATAAATAATAAAAACAAATAAGTAAAGGTTTGTTAGCCAGGGGGCCCCCTCAAATGTACAGCTGCAGGGGGCCCCCACGGTTTCAGTTTGATTTGAGTGAAATACAAAATAATAAAAAACAAAAACTAAAAACAAAATTTAATAAATAATAAACAAAACAGATGCAGCAGCAGCAGCAGCAGCTACTGCTGCTGCTGCTGCTGCTGCTGCTGCTGCATCTCGCTGGGGTCACCAGTTTGTCTTGTGGGGGCCTCAGCAATCCAAAACAGTTTTATATTTTTTAAATAAACAAAAAATAATTAAATTAATTAAATTAATTAAATTAATTAAATTAATTAAATTAATTAAATTAATTAAATTAATTAAATATTTCTTAATTTGCATGATGTTAGCAGAAGGCTGACGTACACTGTACACCGCATCAGCAGCAGATGCGCAGTTAATAGTAATGTTTAAATAAATTATTTATTTTATTTTATATTTCAATAAATTATTTTAAATTATTTATATTTATTTATTTATTTAATTCAGTTTAATTTAACTTAATTTAATTTTTTTATTTAGCTGTGTTTATATGCAGACAGAGACACAAACATTGCTACTGAGGCCGCTACTGTCTAAATAATTTTATTTAATTTTAATTATATTTTTATATAAGAAACATCTTTCTTTGTATTTACAATACACAAATAAATGTCTCTTCGCCTTTATTTACATCAAAAGAATAAACTCTTAAATAGCATAATTATATAAAATAATAAACTCATAAATAATTAAATAAAAGAAATAAACTCTCCTAAATAATTAAATTAAAGGATAAACCCTTTTAAATTGAATAACTTAACAAAAGAATAAACTCTCTTAATTGCATAATTAAATAAAATAATAAACTCTCTTTAAAAGTAATTAAGTAAAAGAAATAAACTCTGTTTAAAAAGAATAAAGAGTAAGTTCTTTTTAAACAGAGTAAATAATTAAGTAAAATAATAAACTCTTTAAGATAAAATAATTAAATTAAAACATAAATCTTTTCAAAGTAAACTAAATAATAAAAATGCGTAGGTATAGTCGTAGCAAAATAAAGAGTACGTTGTGTCTGTATAAGCAATAAGTATAGAATAAAAGCGTAAAGCTCATTCATTAAAAGGAGAATAAATAAAGAAATAAAATAAATAAAAGAGTAATTAGTTTTTAAAAAAGAAATCAATAAAAATGCATGGGCTTCGTAGGGACAGAGTCTTTATTACCCCCTTTAACTTTACTTGCTGGATGACTTTGCAATTCAAGAGGCACCTGACATCCTGCGCTTTTCATGACTTTCACCAAGTCAAAGAATATCGCTGAGTCTTCTTCTGTTAAAAATGATATTGCTACTCCTTTCTTACCTGCACGACCCGTTCTACCTGCATTAGCAGCAGCAGCAGCAGCAGCAGCAGCAAAAGCAGCAGCAGAAGCAGAAGCAGAAGCAGAAGCAGCAAGTCAATAATAGCAGCAGCAGAAGCAGTAATAGAAGACGAAGCAAATGTGATAAAAACAGCTAAAGAAGATTATACGTAGCAGCAGTAGTAGAGTCGGTGGGGCTGCAGCAGATTATTAGGAGCAGCAACAAGAGAAATATAAACAGCAGCAGCAACAGCAGCAAAAGTAGCAGCTACATTTGCTGCATGCATGCAACCAATGCATCAACAGAAGCACCAGCATAATATTTTTTTATTTAATTAATTTGTCAATTTTTTTCTTTTTTTTGTTATTTTGCTTTATTTTTTTTGCGTTTGAGTTTGAGGTGTATCTGAACAAAAGGATAAGCTAAATAAGATCTGTAGAAGTACTTTAATCTGTTTAAAAGTTTAAATTTATTTGTATTTGTCTCACCGATGCGGTGTAAATACTGCTCAATTTCCTTCGGCATATCAAAGTTTACAACTAATGTAACACCATCTATATCAATACCTCTCCCAGCAACATCAGTAGCAACTAATACATCAAAAGAGCCTTCCTGAATAAACAAATAGATAAAATATATTAAATAAATAAATAAATAAATAAATAATAGAATAAAATACTATTAGTAAAAATAAAATGCAATAATCGCATGTATTAAAATCGTGATAATCAAAATAATAAAAAAAATTATATTATGTAAACACAAATACATCAAAAGAATCTTCCTGAGCAAACAATAATATAAATTAAATTAATTAAATTAATTAAATTAATTTAAATAAATACAAAAGGAGAATAATTATAGTAATCATAGTACTCATCTACGTAAAAATATAAATAATAAAAATAACAAATATATAAGAAAACAGACAAAACAAACAAACTCTTCTCTTTAAAATAAAAACAACAATAACAATAATAATAATAATAACAAGATTATTATTATTAATAATAATAATAAAAAATAAAGAATAAAAATAAAAAAATTAATTACTTTGAAGGATGTGAGTGCAGCCTCGCGATTTTCCTGAGCCTTCCCACCATGAAGAGCAATCGTGCTGCAGACAAATAAAAATAAATAAATTAAATTAAATTAAATTAAATTAAATTAAATTAAATTAAAATAGATTAAATTAAAGGGGATTAAAAGAAAGTAAAGAAAAGAAAGAAGAGACAAAAAGAAAAAAAAATTAAAAAAAGGAGACAAAAAGTAAAAGGAGACAGCAAAGAGATATAAAATAAAAATAAAAATAAAAATAAATATAAATCAAAACAAATAAATAACAAAACAAAAAGAAATATTAAAAAATAACAGAGACAATTAAAAACAATGAAGGAGGCAGTTATGGAGACAGTTGAGGAGAGACGAAAAAGAAATAAAAGAAGAAAACAAACAGAAGACAGCAAAGGAGACAGCAGCAGTAAAGGAGACAGAAGCAGCAGCAACAAGGGAGACAGCAGCAACAAGGGAGACAGCAGCAGCAAAGGAGACAGCAGCAGCAAAGGAGACAGCAGCAGCATATTGAGGTGTATATACACCTGAAGCCCAGCTTGCTGAGGGCCTTAGCGAGAGCATCTGCAGATTTCTTTTGATTTACAAACACCATCACGGGAGGCTCGCTCTCTTCTAGTAACTCCTGCAATAATAATAAATAATAAATAATAAATAATAATAATATTAGTAATAATAATAATAATAAATAAATAATAATAATATTAGTAATAGTAATAATAATAATAATAGTAGTAGTAGTAATAATAATAATAATATTAGTAATAATAATAATAATAATTAGTAAACATAATAATAATAATAACAATAAAAAATAAATAATAATAATTAATAAATAATAAATCGTGATAATAGTAAACAGCAATAACAAAATTAAAGAAAATAATAAATAGAAAAGATATAAAGAGAAAGGAGACACAAAAGGAGACAGAGCCTTCAAACAATCTCTGACGATGAACAAACAAACAAAAAAACACAACAAAAAAAGATAAATAGACTCTGCATGCATGCATGCATGCATGTCTGCATGCATGTCTGCATAATAAGACAAAAGAATAATAATAAAAAAGAAGAGAGACAAAATAATAATAATAATAAGAAGAAGAGACAGCTAACCTGCAGTCTCTGCTTCTTTCTTGCCTCCGCAACAAACTCAACGCGTTGATCGATAGCTCTCTTCCCTGCGCCCGGGTCTCCGATTGATATATATGAAGGGGCCCGCAGATACTTCCTGCAGCAGCAGCAGCAGCAGCAGCAGCAGCAGCAGCAGCAGATGAAGCAGCAGATGAAGCAGCAGCAAAAGCAGCAGCAGAAGAAGCATCGGCAGCAGCAGCAGAAGCAGCAGGAGAAGCAGCAGCAGATGAAGCAGCAGCAGAAGCAGCGGCAGCAGCAGATGCAGCAGCAGGGGAAGCAGCAGCAGATGAAGCAGCAGCAAAGCAGCAGAAGCAGCAGCAGGAGAAGCAGCGGCAGGAGAAGCAGCAGCAGCAGAAGCAGCAGAAAAGGAGACACTGAGAATATAAAGAGACAGTAAAAATAAAACAAACAAACAGGAAAGAGATGTTAACACAAAAATAAACAAATAGAGAAGAGACAGTAAAATGAAGATAAAGAAATAGAAGAAAGAGACAGCAAAATAAAAACAAACAAATAAAAAGGAGACAGTAGAATAGAAACAAAGTAGAAGAAGGAGACAGTAAACATAAAACAAAAAAGCAAATAGAAAGTAGCAAGGAGACAGTACAACAAAAACAAACAAACAAATATAAAGGAGACAGTAAAACAGAAACAAACAAATATAAAGGAGACAGTAAAATGAAGACAAACAAACAAATATAAAGGAGACAGTTGAATAGAGACAAACAAATAGAAGAAGGAGACAGTAAAACTAAGACAAATAAATAGAAAGGAGACAGTAAAATAAAGACAAACAAACAAATATAAAGGAGACAGTTGAATAAAGACAAACAAACAAATATAAAGGAGACAGCTGAATAAAGATAAACAAATAGAAGAAGGAGACAATAAAACTAAGACAAACAAATATAAAGGAGACAGTAAAATGAAGACAAACAAATAGAAGAAGGAGATACCTAGCTAATCTTTCTAAAGCAGGGGGCATCGTCGCGCTGAACATATGAGTCAGTCTGTATAAACGGTGTCCTGCCTTAGCTTGCAGCTCCTGCAAATAAATAAATATAAATAAATATAAATAAATAAATATAAATAAATAAATATAAATAAATAAATATAAATAACTCAAGAAATATTAATCAAGAAATATAAAAAAATAAATGTAGATTTACTTGTAATCTAATTATCCTAATGTTAATATCAGCAGCCACAGCAGCAGCCACAGCAGCAGCAGCAGGAGCAGGAGCAGCCACAGCAGCAGCCACAGCAGCAGCAGCAGCAGCAGGAGCAGCAGCAGCAGCAGCAACTGGAGATGCTTTACTTGCTGCAGCGCGAGGGCTTCGTCTTCGCTTTTTAAGTTGGTGGTAGGGATAGCATCTAAGATTGCGTTAACTACTTCTTCAAAACCCAAGTCAATCATGCGGTCTGCAGAAACACGCAACTCTTCTTTCTTCTCCTTCTCCTGCTGCTGCTGCTGCTGCTGCTGTGGATGTGGCTGCTGCTGCTGTGGGTGCTGTGGATGTGGCTGCTACTGCTGTGGGCGCTGCTGCTGTGGGTGCTGCTGCTGCTGTGGATGTGGCTGCTGCTGCTGTTGGTGCTGCTGCTGCTGTTGGTGCTGCTGCTGCTGTGGCTGTTACTGCTGCTGCTGCTGCTGCTGCTGTGGTTAATGAATTGAGTTACCTGCTTCATCTAAGACAACATAATTGCACTGATTTAAAACAGTATATGCTCTATCTAAACAATCTCTAATACGCCCAGGCGTCCCAATGACAATCTCTACGCTGTACATACACCGCAAAACGAAGCAAAAAACAAACAATTTATATATACTTAAACAAATTAACATAAGCGGATTATATATACATATATCTGCTTATGTTAATTTATATTTAAATAAATATATGTATAAAGAAACACAATAAACAAATAAAGAAAGTAACGGATTAACAAATAATAATAAATAAAATAATGATAATAAATAAATATACAAATTAAATAAATAAACAAATAATAAAATGATGATAATAAATTACTGTACAAATAAATAAATAAATAAGATATAATAAATATAATAATGATAATAAATAAATATACAAATGAATAAATAAATAATAAAATGATGATAATAAATTAATGTACAACTAAAAAGCAAAGTAAAACTAAGAGCATTTGAACAAATAAAAAAAAACAGCACTAACCTGAAGTGCATTAATCTGTCTTTAAACTAATACTAATGAATTAAAGCGAATGTAAACTAATTAAATTAAATAAATTAAATAATAATTAAATAAATTAAATTAATTATGTACCCCTGACGAAGAAGAAAGGCCTGGTTCTCTGCGCTCCGTCCACCGACAACAGCAACTGAGCGACAGCTACAGAAAGACGCGAATTTTTGTGTCTCTTCTTCAATTTGCAACGCCAGCTCCCTGAATAAATAATATTATTAAACACATATTCAAAGGCTTCGCGTCCTATACAAGAAGCAGCAGCAGAAAGGAGTCCCAGCTGCTGCAGCAGCATCACCAACAGCAACAATAGCAGCAGCAGCAGCAGCAGCAGCAGCTCCAACAAAAGCAGCAGCAGCAGCAGCCCCAATTGCACCCCCAACAGCAGCAGCAGCAGCAACAGCAGCAGCAGCACCGCCAACACCACCACCACCACTAACACCAGCAGCAGCAGCAGCAGCAGCAGCAGCAGCAGCAGCAGCAGCAGCAGCAGCAGATACCTGGAGGGTGCAAGAATAAGAGCATAGGGCCCATCTTGAGATGTCTCTTCGGTTAGCGGTGGAAGCTGCTTCACGTATGTCAGCAGAGGCAGCACGAACGCAGCTGTCTTTCCTATGAACAAAAATAAATAAATAAATAATAAAACAAATAAATAAATAAATAAATAATAAATAAATAATGCATAATAGACGCCAATACAAATAAATAGAAAAGAAATATCAAACACAAAACACAAAACAAATGCAGGCAAACAAAAACAAAAAGCGACACTGAACAACAACAACAGCAGCAGCAGCAGCAGCAGCAACAGCAGCAGCAGCAGCAGCAGTAGCAGCACTAGCACAACCTAAAGGCCCAGAAAAAGCAACAGCAAAAACACCAGCAACAGGACAACCCAAAGCAGCAGCAGCAACAGCACAGCCTGAAGTAGCAGCAACAGCAGCAGCAGCAGCAGTACAGCCTGAAGTAGCAGCAGTAGCAGCAGCAACAGCAGCAGCAGCAGCAGCAGCAAAAAAGAAGTTTACCTGATCCTGTCTCTGCAATGCCTATTAGGTCTCTCATCTCGAGTGCAATTGGGATAGCCTGCATTTGAATTGGCGTCGGCCGCTCATAGTTCGCCTGCAAACAAGCAGCAGCAGCAGCAGCAGCAGCAGCAGCAGCAGCAGCAGCACCAGCAGCAGCAGCAGCAGCAGCAGGAATATGATTCCTGTTTGCTTGTCGTCTCCTTTCTAGCTTAGCGTTTTGTGGGGTTTTCTGTGCTATAGATATGCATAGCTAGCTGACTCCTCTGTAGCTAGCTAGCTGGTGTATAGCTAGCTAGCTGGTGACAAGCTAGCTTGCTACTGCGTACCTAGTTAGCTGGTGAACAGCTAGCTAGATGGCGCTATGCACAGCTAGCTAGCTAGCTAGCTACAGGTATCTAGCTATCTAGCTACAGCTATCTAGTAACAGTTAACTACAGCTAGCTAGTTACAGTCAGCTACGGCTATCTAGCTACAGCTAGCTAGCTACAGCTAGCTCGTTACAGTTAGCTATAGCTATCTAGCTACAGCTACCCAGCTCCAGCTATCCAGCTACAGCTATGTAGCTGTAGCTAGCTGTAGCTAGCTGTAGCTAGGTGTAGCTAGCTGTAGCTAGCTGTAGCTAGCTAGCTAACCTGTTTAACAGCTTCGATAAGTTCCCAAGGTAGTTCAGCTTCTGCCCAAGTTCGAATCGGCGGAGGGACGCGGCCGCCCTAAAAATAAAAACGCAAACGAAGACAAAAGATATTTCATCAATAAACAGAGTTTAATAAAGATAAATATATTATAGATTAAGAGTAAAGATATATCATGTACAGATAAACTGATGATCAACATATACAATGATAAAGATATTAAGATAAACAGATATATATATATATATATATAAGAAAAAGAAACAAAGTAGAGGTAATAAAAAAACAAATATAAAAAGAGAGACAAAGACAGAGACAGAGAGACAGAGACAGAGACAGAGACGGAGACAGAGACAGAGACAGAGGCAGACAGAGACAGACAAAGACAGACAGAGACAGACAGAGACAGAGACAGAGACAGAGAAACAAACCCAATACAAAAGAAAGACAACTAAAACAAAAAAGAGATGAATAAAAAAGACAAACACAAAAAAGACAGAAAGAGACAGCAGAATTAAATAAAAGAGACAGCAGAATTAGATAGAGGAGCCAGCAGAATTAGATAAAGGAGACAGCAGAAGTAGACAAAGGAGACAGCAGAATTAGACAAAGGAGACAGCCAAAGGAGACACAAGAGACAGCAAAAGGAGACAGAAAAAGATAAACGCCTACCTTAAGATAAATTTCAAAGTCTTCTCTGAATATTCGCCAGTCTCTGTCTGTCATTTCTTCTCTCTTCTTCGTCGACCAATGCCCCTCCAACTCAGGCTCCTCCTGCAATAAAACACAAACCCTGCTGCTGCTGCTGCTGCTGGTGCTGCTCCTGCTGCTGCTGCTGCTTCAGCAGCTGCTGCTGCTGCTCTTGCTTCAGCTGCTGCTGCTTCTGTTGCTGCTCTTGCTTCAGCTGAAGCTGCTGCTTCTGCTGGTACTGCTTCGGCTGCAGGTGCTTCTGGTGCTGGTGCTGCTGCTGATGCTGCTGCTGCTGGTGCTGCTGCTGATGCTGCTGCTGCTGGTGCTGCTGCTGCTGTTGCTTACCTCCATATCCTTAACCTTCTTCTTGTCACTGGCTCGGGCTGCTTCTGCTGCTGCAGTCGCAGCTGCTGCTGCTGCTTCCTCAGCGCCGCGCTGCCGCTGCTTCAACTCGTACTCTTGGCGTCTGCAGCAGCAGCAGCAACACAACAGCAGCAGCAACAGCATCAGCAAGAGCTAGTAGGAGACAAACAAAACTAGACAACTGAAAGGCCACAGCAGCAACAGCAGCAGCAACTACAGCACGAGCAGCAAATGCAGCAGCGGCAAACTGCAGCAGCAGCCGCAGCAGCAGCAGCAGCCGCAGCAGCAGCAGCAACCGCAGCAGCAGCAGCAACCGCAGCAGCAGCAGCAGCAGCAGCAACTGCAGAAATACCGCTTGACGAGTTCATCGTAGAAGTTGTTCGCTTTGCGCTGCTCGCGAATGTCCATCCCAGCTCTAAACCTGAAAACGCAACATGCAAACCCTAAACCCTAAACCCTAAACCCTAATCACTAAACCCTAAACCGCAGAGGAAATAGGCAGACAACCCTTAAACAATAAACCCTAAACCCTAAACCCTAAACAAGGAACAGAAAAGAGATGAAGACAAGAGACGTGAAACTGCGCAACGCTGCAGTCGTCACTACACCCCAAACCCTAAACCCTAAGACCTAAACCCTAAACCCTAAACCCTAAACCCTTGCGAATACCCTCTGCCGAAGAGTAGCTGCGGCTCGAGTCTGTTTTGATAGAGCGGATTGTTGTCTCCTCTCATCGTATCTTCACTCGCATCCCACTCAAAGTTGAAGATGTTCCTGCACCCAAACCCTAAACCCTAAACCCTAAACCCTAAACCCTAACCCTAAACCCTAAACCCTAAACCCTAGACCCTTGACCTGAAATCGTAGGCCTTAGTAAACCCTACACCGCAGTCTGCAAACCCTCAGCCTTAAACCCTAAACTCAAACCCCAAACCCTGCTAAGATACCCACAGCCACAAACCCTAAACCCTAAACCCTAAACCCTAAACCCTACCTGAATTTTTCTGAGGGCTTTTGAATCTTCTTCTTCTCTTTCTTCATACCCAGGTAATGCATGCGAATCTGCTCCAGCTCCTTCTCCTGCAAACCCACCGTTCAAACCCTAAACCCTAAACCCTAAACCCTAAACCCTTAATCCTTGACTCTGAGGCCTTTGCAGCGCCGCCCTCTGCCCGAGCCTCCAAACCGCTAAGCCCTACAAACCCTAAACCCCAAACCCTAAACCCTAAACCCTCTTGCCTGTTGCTTCGCGCGGAGTTCTTGCTCAGGGAGGTTGAGCAGCTTAAGATCTGCAAGAAGGCTGGCTTCCTTCGGCTTCTGCTGCTGTTTCTCTTGCTCCCGCTGCTGCCGCAGCTGCTCCTCCCGCAGCTTCTCTATACGCAGCAGCAGCAGCAGCAGCAGCAGCGCAGACAGCAGCAGCACAGGCGAGATCCACACCCACTGGCGCAGCAGCACATGCTGCAGCAACGCCGGCAGCAACAGCCGCCGCATCATCTCCCGCAGCAACACGAGATAGTGCAACAGCAGCAGCAGCAGCAGCAGCAGCAGCAGACGCAGCGAAAACAGGCAGCAACGGTGGAATGAGCAGGAGGAGCAGCAGCAACTGCAGGCGCAGCAAATGCAGCAGGAGCAGCAGGTACAGCAGCGACAGATGCAGCAGCAGCAGCAGATGCAGCAGCAGCAGATGCAGCAGCAGCAGATGCAGCAGCAGCAGACTTTCTTGTTCTTCTTTGACTCTCTCCATGTCCCTCCTCTTCTGTCTTTCTCGCCGCTCTCTTTCTCGCTCAATCTCCTGAAAGCAGCAGCAGCAGCAGCAGCAACAGCAGCAGCAGCTACAACGGCAGCAACGAACAGCAGCAGCTGCACGGGTCAGCAGCAGGAGCAGCAGCACCTGAGAGGCCTACAAGAAGAAGAAGAAGCAGCAGCAGCAGCAGCAGCAGCAGCAGTGTATCTACAGACCTCTCTCTGCAGGAAGAGTCTCCTTTTGTTTATCATCTCCCTCTCTTTTTTCTTTGCAATCTCTGCTTCTTCCTGCTGCTGCTGCTGCTGCCGAGCCTCGCGCTGCTTCTTAGAAACAAAGGTTATCTGCAGGCAGCAAACACAGCAGCAGCAGCAGAAGCAACAGCAACAGCAGCAGCAAAGATATGCATGCGTTCAACTGCTTCCCTCTCGATGCCATACCTCACAGATGTGCGTCTACGCTTAACCGGAAAAGCAAGGGTTTAGGGTTTAGGGTTTAGGGTTTGCTGCTAGCACCAGCCGCCTACGGGAAGCGGGAGGCATAGGCAGCAGCAGCAGCAGCAGCAGCAGCAGCAGCAACAGCAGCAGTTGCTGGTGCTGTTGCTGTGAGCAGTGCAGCGCCTGCTTCCGAGCAGATAAAGAGAAGGTATCAGCAGCAACAACAGCAGCAACAGTACACCCGGAAACACCAGCAACAGCAGCAGCAGCAGCAGCAGCAACAGCAGCAGCAGCAACAGGAACGGCAGCAGCTCGTATGTCTCACTCTCTTCGGTTCTGCTGCTTCTCTCTTCTTTCTCTCTACCTCCTCTAATGAATATACTTCTCGCCGCTGCTGCTGCTCTGCAAGCAGCAAAAAGGAAGACAGCTTCCCCGGCACCTTGGCGGTGCTGCTGCTGCTGCTGCTGCTGTTGTTGCTGCTGCTGCTGCTGCTGTTGCTGCTGCTGCTGTTGTTGCTGCTGCTGCTGTGGCTGTCTTTGCTGCCGGTACTTTTCAAGCCGCTGTTCTGCTCGCCGGCAGTGGCGCTGCTGCTGCTGTTGTTGCTGCTGCTGTTGTTGCTGCTGCTGCTGTTGCTGCTGCTGCTGCTAATGTTGCTCTTGCTGCTGCTGCTGCTACCGGAGGCAGATGTGGTAGAGGGTTCTGATGGCGGCTTTTCTTTCTGCGCAGCATCGCTCCTGCTGCTGCTGCTGCTATTGCTGCTGCTGCTGCTGTTACTGCTGCTGCTGTTACTGCTGTTACCGTGTCTCATGCTGTCTGAGTGCCCTCTGCTGCTCCATCCACCATAGTCCTTGCTGCTGCTGCTGCTGCTGCTGCTGCTGGTTTCTCTGTATCTGGGGGTGTCCCTGTCTCTGTTGCTTCCATACCTCTGGCTTGTGTCACCGTATCTATCTCTAAATCCATCTCTGCTGCTGCTGCTGCTGCTGCTGCTGTTGCTGCTGCTGCTGCTGTATTCGGGCCGGCTTGAAGCAGCACGGATTTCTGTCTGCAGCCTCTTGGGGGGACCCCCAAGCGCATTTAGGGGCTCTCGTTTAGGAGGGGCCTGAGCGTTAGCTGCTGCTTCTGGTTTGCTGCTGCTGCTGCTGCTGCTGCTGTCGGTGGGTTTGGTGCTGCTCGTGGTGCCGCTGCCGCTGCTACTGCCGGCGTTATCGGGGCTGCTGCTGCTGCTGCTACCACTGCTGCCTGTCTCTGCGACATTGCTACCGCTGTTCTCTGGCCCTTTGCTGCTGCTGCTGCTGCTCTTCCCTGTGGAGCTGCTGCCGCTGCTGCTGGGGGGGCTGCTGCTGCTGCTGCTGCTGTTGCTCTCCCGCATAGGGCGGTCAGCCGCTGGCTCACTTGAAACAGGCTTCGGCGCCGTTGCTGCTGCTGCTGTTGCTTCTGGTGAGGGTGTTGCTGCAGCAGCAGCAGGCGCTACGTTAGTAGCACTTGCAGCAGCAGCAGCAGATGCTGCTGCTGCTGCTGGAGTTTCTACACCGTCTGGTGCTGTCATGATGTATTGTTATGAATATCTGTTCTCTAATAATCGAAGAGAGAAGGTGCTGCTGCTGCTGGTGCTGCGGTTGCTGCTGCTGCTGCTGCCGCTGCTGCAGTTGCTGCTGCTGCTCCGTTGTCCGCAGCAGCAAAGACGCAAGAGCACAAAAGCATATATAAAGAAGCAGTAGAAAGAAGGAGAAGCAAAATAATTAATTATTTTAGTGTTAGAATTCAGGAAAAAGGTCGGCCTCCTCTGGGGCCTTCTGTTGAGCCCTGTGCATGCAGCAGCAGCAGCAGCAGCAGCAGCGGCAACTGCAGCAGCAGCTGCAGCAGCAATAAAACTACTTAACCAGCAACCTGTGGATCTGAATCTCGCAGCAAGACAGCAGCACACCAACGCAGATTCTGCCGCCTCTCTCCTTGCGCTGCTGCAGCAGCAGGCGCTGCTGCTGCTGCTGCTGCTGCTGGCGAAGATCCGTCGAGTGTGCCTTTAGCTGACCCAGGTGGAGCAACAGCGGATCCTGAGCAGCAGCAGCAGGCGCAGCAGAGCAGCAAGAGCAGCTACGGCAACCGCAGCTGCAGCAACTACCACATCTTAGCCGCAGCAGCAGCAGCAGCAGCAGCAGCAGCAGCGTAAGCTCCACCAATTGATTCGTGGGGTGGCGGAACGAAGCCGTATTTACATCATCTCCGACAGCAGCAGCAGCAGCAGCAGGAGGCAACCCCTAACAGCAGCAGACAGCCACAGACATCGATAGATGCAGCAAGGAGTGGTTCTGGCGCTGCAGCAGCAGCTGTGGCAGCTGTAGCAGCAGCAGCATGCTAAGGTAGCAGCAGCAGCAGCGACAGGTGCAGCAGCATCAGATGCAGCAACAACAGTAACAGCAGCAGCTAGCTCGGCAGCGTCAACAGCAACAAGAACAGCAGGATCAGCAGCACCAGCAGCAGCAACAGCAGAAGCAGCAGCAGCAGCAGCAACAGCAGCAGCAGCAGCAGGATGTCTAAACAAGGGCGCCGCAAAGGCGGCAGACAGGGTGATGCTGATTACAGCAGCGACAGCAGCGGGGGCCAGGGTTGCGGTGCTGCTGCTGCTGCTGCTGCTGCTGCTGGGTCGGGTAGACGGTGGAGGCGAAGAGAAGCCCCTGACCTCAGCCTTATCATTGTGCAAGAAGAAGTAGAGGCCTCAAGGTGCCTCAAACCCTAAACCCTAAACCCTAAACCCTAACTCCCCTACACCAACCCCTGCATCGCAAACCCTAAACCCTAAACCCTAGCAGTCGTACGCCTCTCACCCTGTCTGCAGCACCCTCTACACCCTAAACCCTAAACCCTAACTCGCCTGTATCAAGCCCCAAACCTGAATTGCAAACCCTAAACCCTAAACCCTAAACCCTCGATAGTTGTTTGTGGGGTGTATATACAGGGTAGGCGTTGCTTCCTGGGCTGCAGCGCATGCAGGGGCCTCATCGTTGCTGCCTCGCAGGCTGTGCTGCTGCTGCGGCATGCCGGGTACTTTCCGGTGTACAGAGTGTTGTAAGAAGCGCAGCAGCAGCAGCAGCAGCAGCAGCAACACCATGGCAGCAGCAGGCGTTGCAGGTGCAGCAGCAGCAGCACCCACAGGTAAATACTTGTGCAGCGCCGACTGTCTCCATATACACCGCGCAGCAGACTGCAACCCCCGTCACCTTCTCAACTGGCTAGGCTAAGCTAGCTGCTGCTGCTGCTGCTGCTGCTACTTGCATGCACTAGCTGCTGCAGCTTGAGATGGCAGCAGCAGCAGCAATACCCAGCAGCAGAAGCTGCTGCAGCTGTTTTTTTTTTGCGGCTACTTGCATGCACTAGCTGCTGCAGCTGGAGACTGCAACAGCAGCATGAGCCAGCAGCAACGGCTGCAGCAGCAAAATATGCAGAGTAGCTGCTGCAGCGTGCTGCAGCGCATGCTGCCAGCAACGAATACCTTTGCTTCCTGAATGTCTTTTAAAGTGGATTTGCTGCTGCTACTGATGCTGCTGCTGCTGTACTGCTGCTGCTGCAACAACAATAGAGCTGGCTTAAAGTGGATTTACTGCCGCTGCTGCTGCTGCCGCTGCAGCTGCTTTCTTAAATGTATTTGCTGCTGCAGCTGGTGCTGCCGCAGCAGCTACCTTCCAATGTTGCCTTTGCTGCTGCAGATAGTGGTGCTGATGCTGCTGCGACTGCTGCTGCTGCTGACAGAGGCGAAGTGTTGCGCCTTAGAGGAGTAAAGGCTTGTGCTGCTGTGGATGGGGACAGCAGCAGCAGCACGTGCTGCGGCAGCGCTTGCTGCGCTGCAGCAGGAGCTTCTGTAGAAGGCAGCAGCGACAGCAGCAGCAGTAGTTTTTTGCTGTCAGTGCATGCAGTAGCCTACAAGGCGTAGTTGCAGGAGACAGTTAAGGAGACATTAAAGGGTGACAGTTAAAGGAGACAGTTAAAGTGAACAGTTAAAGGAGACAGTTAAGCAGACAGTTTGAAGGAGATAGATAAAGGAGACAGTTGAGGAGACAGTTAAAGGAGACAGCTAAGGAGACAGTTAAAGGAGACAGTTAAAGGAGACAGTTGAGGAGACAGTTAAAGGAGACAGTTGAGGAGACAGTTAAAGGAGACAGTTGAGAAGACAGATGAGAGCCCATAGAGGCAGCCACTCAGCGAGACATCTGAGGAGACGCTTAAAAAGGCATTTAGAGGGATACTTAAAAGTGGTGCTGCTGCTGCTGCTTTAGCAGCAGCTGTTCTAGAAGTCACTGTCAGTGAAGCGCTGCAGCAGCAGCAAAAAGAGGTTCAGAGCCTACAGCGGGGTTACGCTGCAGCGGGAAGCAAAGGCTTCCTCCCTGTGCTGCTGCTGCTGCTGCTGCTGCTGCTGCTGCTTCAGCAGCATTTGTTGGGGCTGGTGCTTCAGCAGCAGTTGCTGCTGCTGCTTCAGCAGCAGTTGCTGCTGCGGCTGCTGCTGCTGAAGCCGCAGTAGCAGTTGGTGCTTTTGCTGCTGCTGCTGCTTGAGCAGCAGTTGCAGCTCTCGCTGCTGCTGCTGCTTGAGCAGCAGCTGCTGCTGTTGCTGCAGCGGGTCTCCGCTACTCTCGAAGAGGAGAGGAGGCGCTCAAGGAGAGCCGGTGGTAATCCATGTTTCCGCATGCAGCAGCAGCTTCTGCGTCTGCTGCTGCAACAACTGCTTCATCTTCTGCTGCTGCAGCTGCTGCTTCTTGTGCTGCTGCGTCCTCGGCAGCAGCAACCGCTGCAGCAGCTGCTGCAGCAGGGTCACTTGCGCATTTTGCTTCTTCATACAACAGCTCCCCAGATGCCAACGGCCCTGCCTTTCTTTCTTCCTGCCGTGCTGCTGCTACTGCTGCTGCTGCTGCTCCTGCTGCTGCTTGCTCAGGTGTCTCCTGCACAAAGGGCCCTCTGTCCTTGTGCGCTGCTGCTGCTTCCCTGCTGCAGGGGCCGTCAGCGCCCGCTCTCGCCCCGCCAGAAGCAGCAACAGCAGCAGCAGCAGCAGCAGAAGCCGCAACGGGCTTTGCTGCATGCGCTCGGCACGCCGGCGTTCTGTGGGGTGCACGGAAATTCTGTCTCCTGCTGCTGCTGCTCCTGCGGCTGCTGCGGCTGCTGCTGCGGTGTCTTCCGAGCCTGGCATCCCTGCTGCTGTTATTTGCTGCTGTCTCCTTTACCCGTCTCTCCAGGGAAATGCTGCGGCTGCTGCTGCGCATGGGGTGGACCCTTCTGTTGCTGCTGCTGCTGCTGCTGAGGCCCCTTTGACCGCTGCTGTTTCGCTCTACCAAATGCTGCCTCCTTCGGCTGCTGCTGCGGTAGCTGCTGCTGCCGCTCCTGCTGCGGCTGCTGAACCGGTTGCTCAACTCAGGGGCTCTTCCGGTGTAAGCCCCAGTTCTGCTGCTGCTGCTGCTGCTGTAAGGAGGGTGTCTGCTGCTGCTGCTGGTGCTGTAAGGGGGGTATCTGCTGCTGCTGTTGCTGCTGTAAGGGGGGTATCTGCTGCTGCTGCTGCTGCTGTTGTAAGGGGGGTATCGGCTGTTGCTGCCGCCGCTGTAAGGCGGGTATCTGCTGCTGCTGCTGCTGTAAGGCGGGTATCTGCTGCTGCTGCTGCCAGTACTGTAAGGGGGTAGTCTGCTGCTGCTGCTGCTGCCCGGCGGGAGGCTGATTCTGCTGTTTTCATAAGGCGGGTATCTGCTGCTGCTGCTGCTTAAGGGCGGATGTCTGCTGCTGCTGCTGCTGCCATAAGGGGGCATTCTGCTGCTGCTATAGGGAGGGTATTCGCTGCTGCTGCTGCTGCCAAACCGCGGGTCCCTGCTGCTGATGCAGGGCGGGTATCTGCTGTTGCTGCTGTAGAGAGGATATCCGCTGCTGCTGCTGCTGCTGCCGTTGCTGCTACAGTTGACGGGGTATCTGTTTATATTGCCATAGGGCGGGTATCTGCTGCTGCTGTTGCTGTCAGGGGGACGCCTGCTGCTGCTGCTATACGTAGGATATTTGCTGTTGCTGCTGCTGCTTCGGGGCCTATATCTGCTGCTGCTGCTGCGGCTTCTGTTATTGCTGCTGTTACGAGGAGCCAACCTGCAGCTGGCGTTTGTGCTGCTGTCATATCGGGCGTTTCGGCTGCCTTGAGGATTGCTGCTGCTGCTGCTGCTGCTGCTGCTGCTGCTGTCTCCATACCTTTTAGTGGCCTCCATAGTGCATCCGCTGTTGTTGTTGCTGCTGCTGCTGCTACTGGTGTTTCCGTTCCTTTTGCTGTGGCTCTCGCTGCCTCCCAGTTTGCTGCTGCTGCTGCTGCTGCTGCTGCTGCTCCTTTGGGGCTTAAGCACAGGGGAGCTGCTGCCATCAGAAGGTTTGCTGCTCCGGTGTGGTTCTACCGAAGGCGCTGGGGTGCCCCCCAGCTGCCTCGAGGTCTCCGTAGCACAGCAGGTGCTGCTGCTGCTGCTGCTGCTGCTACTGCTGCTGCTGCTGCTGCTGCTGCTGCTGCTGCAAAGCCTGCTCCTGGTGCTGCTGCTGCTTCTGCTGCGGCTGCGGGGACAGCTGGCGGGGCTTCTGCTGATGCTTCTGCTAACGCTTCGGCTGACACTGCGGCCCCAGCTAGTTGGTATATGCCGCACGTTACTCTGCTGTTGCTGCTGCTGGTGCCGCTGCTGCAGCTGCTCTATGTCTTGCTGCCCTAAGTGCTGCCCTCCAGGGCTCCTGCTGCGACCATTGCTGGGCTGAGCGTGTGCTGCTGCAGCCCGTGGCGCTGCTGCTGCTGCTGCTGCCTTTGAAGACGCGGGATCTGCTACGTGCGGAGCAGCAGCAGGAGCTGGTGCTGCTGCTCCGCCAGCTGAGTCTTTTGCTGCTGTTGCTGCAGCAGCTGGTGGTGCAGCAGAGTCCTTGCTGGCTGCAGCTTGATGGTGCCCGCTAAACACAACAGAAGAATCTGTGTCGCTGCTGCTGTCGCTGCTGCTGCTGGAGATGATAAACGCCTCAGCGGCGTCTCTGCTGTTGCTTCTGTTGCTGCTGCTGCTGCTGCTTCTGCTGCTGCTGCTGCTGACCCGGACGATTTCCCCCGGTGCTAGAGGTGGGCATACACCCCGCGCCAGCGTCTGGGTTGCTCCTTTCTTTCTTTTCCTAATGAGGCACCTGCTGCTGCTGCTGCTGCTGCTGCTGCTGCTGCTGCTGCTGCTGCGAGAGGCGCTTCTCCTCTCAAGCCGCCTCAACTGCCGCAGCAGCCGCTGCTGCTGCTTCTCCAGCCGTCTCCGTGTCTCCTCTCTGTGGGTCTCCTTCCGCAGGGCATCATAATTCAACTTAAAGGCGCAGCGCACGCAGACACGGCACTGCACCAGAGCCTGCAGCAGCAACAGCAGCAGCAGCAGCAGCAGAATATTCATGTGGTGTAGGTCAAGGGAGGCAGCAAAAGGAGTAAAGATGCATGCAGGCTCGATGCAGCAGCAGCAGCAGCAGCAACCCAACGCACTGCTGCAGCACCAAATGAAAAGCATGCAAATGCTGCAGAAGCAAAAGCCAGAGCAGCAGCAGCAGCAGCAACAGTAGCACCAGGAAGGAGCAGCAGAAGCAGGAAGCTGCTTGCCTGTTTATTCTCTCCTTTTTCTGTGTAGCTGAAGTGCAGCTGATATGTGCGGAGTTGCTGAAGCACCCGCTGCTGCTGCTGCAGGTGGTGCTGCTGCTCCAGCAGCCGCCGCATCTTATGATCTTGAGTAAGGTCGATAGCAGCAGCAGCAGCTGCTACTGCTGCTGCTGCTTCCTCTGCTGCTGCAGTCGCTGCTGCGGCAGCCTGTGTTGCGTCCTCTAGAGAAGCAGCAGCAGCAGCAGCCCGATCAGCAGCACGTGCTGCGGCATCTTCCAGTCTTTTGCTGCTGCGGTCCCCGTTTGCTTTGCTTGCTGCTGCAGCAAAGCCAGCAGATCGAGCTTCTGCGGCAGCAGCAGCTGCTGCTGCTTGCAACTTGTCCACCTTTGCTGCTGCTGCTTCCTTCTCTTTGCTGCACTGCAGCAAAGCAGCACGTAAGAAATCTTCATCAGGGAGGCCCCTCTCTTCGCGGAGAGCAGCAATTTGCTGCTGCAGCAAACGCAATGCTGCTGCAGTCTCTTGCTGCTTCTGCTGGGTCTTGCATCCGCTGCCTCCGCAGATGGGGCCCCCGATGCCAGCTGCTGCTTCTGCTGCAGTGCGCCAGCGAAAACCTATCTGCAGCAGCAACAGCAGCAGCAACAACAGCAGCAGCAGCAATTACTGGAAGCAATATCCAAGCACCACGAAGCACACCTTACTGCAGCAGCAGCACCTGCAGCAGCACCTGAAAGTCCGCGTCAGCAGCAACAGCAGCAACAGCAGCAGCAGCAGCAGCAACAGCAGCAGCAGCAGAAACAACAGCAGCAGACCTGTCCCTTGGTATATCGGCTTAAGTCGCAGATGACGACAGGCAAATCAGAGCCCTCAGTCTGAGGCACACAAACGCACACAAAACACACACCCTAAACCCTAAACCCTAAACCCTAATCCCTAAACCCTAAACCACTGGTGAGTGCCGCTGTGCCGCGGGGAAGCCGCTGGGTGCGGCTGTGCGGTACAGAAGCACTCCTCGATCCTGCCTCTCATGCAGGCAGTTGCTGCTGCTGCTGCTGTTGCTGCTGCTGCTGCTGCTGCTGCCGCTGCTGCTGTTGCGACACACTTGATGTTCAGTTGAAGCGGCGCCAGCAGCAGCTGCACGTGCAAGAGCCTCCCGTTGCCTCTCTCTCCCTTCTCCGTTCCTCTCTGCTGTTGCTTCAGTTGTTGCTGCTGCTGCTGTTGCTGCTGCTGGTGTTGTTGTTGCTGCTGCTGCAGCAACAGGGAGCCTGCTGGTTAATACGACTGTCCTCTTCGTTCCTTGGCCTGCTGCCGTTGCTGCAGCAGCCCCTGCAGTTGCTGCTGCTGCTGCTGGTGCCTCGCGGACAGCAGCACGTTTTGCTTCTGCTGGTGCTGCAGTATTTGCTGCTGCTGCTGCAGACGCACTCGGTGCTGCTGCTGAGGTGTCTGCTGCCGCTGCTGAGGTATCTGCTGCTTCTGGTGAGGCGCTTGCTGCTGCTGTATCTGCGCGTCTAGCATGTCTTGCTTCTCCTGCCCCGGCTTCAGCAGATGCTGCAGGGCTTGCTGCTGATGTTGCTGCTGCTGCAGTCTTTGGTGCTGCTGGCTTCTTTTCGGGAGGTGACGTGTCTGCAGCAGCAGCAGCAGCTCCTCCTGATGCTGCTGCTGCTCCTTCACCACGATCCTTTGCTGCAGATGTGCTTGCTTCAGATTCTGCTGCTGCAGCAGAAGGGCGTCTGGCTCGAAGTGGTGCTGCTGCTGCTGATGCTGCTGCTGCAGGCTCTGCATGCCCTGCCCGCGTCTTAGCTGCTGCAGACCTTGTTGCTGCAGCTGTCTCTTCTTTTGCTGCTACTGCCGGATTTCTTCCGCGTATGTCTTTCCCTTTGGTGCCTGCTTCACCTGTTGCTGCTGCTGCAGTTGTTGCTGCTGCTGCTGCTTCCCTTGCAGCACGGGGCTCTCCCGCAGCAGCCCTGGGGCATTCCTGCAGGATTACTCGTCTCCGATGCTGCTGCTGCTGATTCTGCTGCCGCTTCGGAGCCCCTACATCTGCTGCTGCTGCTGCTGCTGCAGGCGGCGGTTGGCGCCGATGCTGCAGCCACTCCCCTGCTGCAGGGGGGCCTCTCTTTGAAGGTGGGAGCAGCAAGTGCTGCTCCTCTGGGGGATATCTGCTGCTCCTCAGCAGCGGCTGCAACCGACGAGGAGCCCTCATAAACTCTTCTGCATACACCGCAGGCTGCTGCAGCGGGGCAGCGCCCCCCACAGGGCGGCTAGGCAAACGGCGACGCTGGCCCATCTGCTGCAGCAACACCCTGCTGCTGCTGCTGCTGCTGCTGTTCCTGCTGCTGTTGTTATTGCGCCTGCTGCTGCCGTTTGTTGCTGCTGCTGCTGCTATGACGTAGGCTCGCTCCCCCTCATGCCAATGCTGCTGCTGCTCCTGCAGCTGCTACAGCGCAGGGTCAGACCTTTGTCGTCGATGCTGCTGCTGCTGCTGCTGCGACTGCTGCTGCGGCATGTGCAGCAGTCCGAGCTGTGCAACAGCAGCAGCAAGTGGGCACCTCGCGGGGGCCTGCAGCAGCAACTGCTGCTGCAGGTTCTGACTAGGTCTTAAGAGAATTTGTTGCAGTTGTTTTATAGAGAACAAACTTCTTAAAGACGATGCTTTTTCCTCTAACAACAAGCAGGGGCCCCCCAGCCCTCCTTAGCAGTCTCAGCAGCTAGGTGGTGCCCTTTAAATATAATACTTTACTCTCAATTTCTCCTGTAAGCCCCACCTGCAGTGTTGTTTTGACGGAATCCGCTGTTGCTGCTGTTGCTGCTGCTGCTGCTGCTGTTGCTGCAGCAGAAGCGGTCGTGGGGGGCCCACGGGGCCCTCACCCCTGCAGCTGCTGCAGTGAAGGGCTTCTTCGGGGCTGCTGGGGCTTTTATGCAGTGTTGCAGAAGTAGTAAAATAAAAGAATAAATAATTGTTTTAACAATCTCAGCTCGTACACACCGACAGCCAGCATGCTTCCGCTGTGCCTGTCCATACGGCGTTCTGCTGCTGCTGCTGCAGCAGCAGCAGCGGCAGCAAAAAGCTGCTGCTGCTCTGCTGCTGCGACTCCTGTGTAGTGCAACCTAATTAGTTTCAACCCTTACGGGCCTATTCTTGCTGCGGTTTCGGAGCCCCTTAGGCAGCAGCAAACATATCACTAACCCTATTCCTGAGACTAGTATCTAGCTGTGTAGAGAGATGCTGCAGCAGCCTTCCTTCTCTAAACGGGTGGAAGTACTTCTCCTTGCATGCAGGTTGACTGCTGAGAGCCAAAAACGTGCTTGTACCAAGTGTATACGCTGATAGAGCATGCATGCACCAAAATGGGGCTGGGGTAAACTAGCATGCGGGGATGTCCTGCAACAGATATTGAAAAGAACCCCAATATAACTTCATCATAAGAAGCCTCCTATACGCACCAACCCCACAGCCTTGTGCTTCTGAGCGCAAGATGACTGGAGACAGGGAGACAAGCTAGCAGCTGCCTACAACGACGTCTTGTTGTACTTACTGTGATGCTACTAACGACGGTTAATAACGCATCCCCTCGTTATACTGAGTAGCACCATATGGTTCATCGAGGCAGTTGCAAGTAGCCTAACTTACCCCCACACCTGCCTTGCCTGATGCAGAGGAAGTTCCCTGCAAAAAGCCCTAAACCCTTAACCCCCGGCGTTGATTGAACGGTGTGTTTGCCTGCTTATACAGCCAGGCAGAGTGTTCTTCGATGCAGACACTGGCCGTACATCCCAACCCTAAACCCTAAACCCTTATTCTGCTTGATAAGTCGACATAGCTTGTGCCGCAGCAATATTGGGGTGATGATCTAGGGGTACCTAGCAGAGTACGCCTTGCCATACTGGTTGCACCTCAAACGAACTGGGTTGGACATGAGAGATTAATATCGTCTAAAGGAAGAAATGAATTTGTGTTTCGCTACCATCCATCGAGCTACCCTACTCCAAAGAGTAGCCGCCAACAAGTGGGAGGGGGACCACAGGGCGTATACAGCTAACTTCGGGGGGATCATTGCACAAGGATCCCAATTGTCTGCAGAAGGCAAGGTAATTTGTTTCCTGCACAACTTTCCAAAGGATTTAAGATGGGCCGTCACACAAAGAAGAGCAATTAAGTGTCGAAGCTGGAAGGAGGCGGCAGCTGCATTGGCTACAATGGCCATCCCACGGAAAGTCGGAGGAGTATAACAAACTCAAGAGGGAAACTCAACAGAGTCTACAGGGAGGAGCTGCTGGGGGCAGACGCCTACCAAAGACAGCAGGGGACCGAATATATCAGCAGACGGTAGGGAGTGCTACGGGAGGCTTGTGAGCCAATGAAGCCCCAGAAATAGATCGTAAGGTACAGGGCCAAGTAATAAATCTTAAAGGAGGGGGGCACCGAGCTAGGAAGTGTCCGACTGGCCAGCCGGGAATGCGCAGAGCAAAGAAGACGTGCATGAGATATAGTGGACTAGGTCACTTCGCTAAGGATTGCGCAACACCAGGACGCACGAGATTCGAGCCAAGGGAGAGGACGGAAGGGCAGACAACAAACCCTAATGCGGAGCGCACAGAGCGTTTAAAAGGGCGAGCCTAGACGTTAAGCGAGACGAACGTGCTAGGCGACCTAATCAGGGTAAAATGGTGATGTGCGCAGTAGCGACCAAACCTAACGACATACTAGTTTTCCCGGAGTAGGGGTAGAAGTTCTTGTCTGAGGACAGTCCAGCTAAGACAGTGCTCAAGTAACCTGAAGCATGTCAGCAGTCAGCGGAGGAGCAGGGCAACTCAGTGCCAGCAGGCGAATAAGACGTAGAGCCAAGGTGTGTGATAGAGGATGACGGTGAAGAGTCAGCAGAGGTGCCAGCTGAGGTCTATGGGCACGACGAAAGGGCCGTTGAATCGCCATGGTGGCGGGCGGCCCGCACAGAAGAGAACACCAACAGGGGGGGCGTGTTGTGTAGCGTGGGCGATACAGCAGCCCTACGAGTAATGTTGCGGGAAGCCCCTGTGAGGCGCTCTTAGATACAGGGTCCTCGAGAAGTTCCATTAGCCCTAAGACCGTTGAACGTTTGCAGCTTAAGGTGCGGCGCCTTCCAAAGGAGTTTACGTTGGTTAATGGGGAGCCGCTGCGTATCGATCGCGGGGTAATGAGACTAACGATGTGGTGCGGTCAGGACTGTTTCACGGCATATTTCTTACTTGGTCCTGTACCTCACGAACTACTGCTGGGGCTTGATTGGCTCACTGAGCAGAAGCTTGCTTGGTATTTTCAGTCCGATAAGCTGCGAACATGTATGAATGGCAAGTGGTGTGGGCTACCCGTAGTCCGAACGTGTGAAGATAAATCCACACGCAGTGACACCAAAGAAGCGTGCCAGCGGACCCCTGCTGAGCAGGCATACGATACACTCGCCATGCAAGTGGGAGGCAAGACATCGGTGGACGCCGCAGTGTTCGTACGTCCACCGCCTAGGAGATACAATTACTATAACAAAGCAGGACTGAAGGTTCCGATAGACTCTATTGTTCAGCAGGCTGGGGAAATCATGCAGACTCTAAGGGAACCAGTGCAGGGGCTGTACAACATACTGGCAAAGCCAGTATGTTGTACAGCTACTGGCTTGGCCTGAGGCCGAGGACGCAGTGTCATTTAGGTTTTTGGATGAACGACAAGGGGAGTTGTGCTGTGCCTTGATTGGCCATACACACCCTAGCTCGGACAGTGTACACGCCCCCGATGTCCCGGTGAACGCGGAGGATAAGGAGAAGCCACCGTAGTAAACGGCTAAGTTAGAATATACCCAGTTCGACGCGTGAATAGACTCAGCAGTGTCGCAGGATACACCGCTGGATGTTCTTGAGCTGTTGTGTACCAATCGGGAAGTCTTTCCGGATACCCCGCCTACAGGGTTACCACCGAAGCGGTCACACGATCAGAGTAGCGCACGGGCACTACAATGGATCTCTGGTGTGATCTCTAGAGGCGTAGTATCATGAAAAGGAATAAATACTCTAGAATGCTTCAGGGATTAGGACACTAGTAGGTAGAAAAGCCTACCTAATAATTACTATAGAATACTTCAGGGATTAGGACACTATTAGGTACAACAGCAGCCTAATAGAATCAGAGTGCTGCCATCCGGCACCAGCTTGGAGCTGGGTGTGAGGCTATTGCTGTGACACCGGCACTGGCCCTCGGCAAGGGTCGGGCAGCAGTTCTATTGTTCTGGGTTTTCTTTGGGAACAATAGTAGGAAGTCGATCTTATACTTGGTTGGTAATTGTGTTTATTAGTGGTTTACAGCGAGAATCGTAGAATTTGGTGTCGGGATACAGTGTGTGCATCTATTCAGTATAGTTTAGGAATCTCACGTAGTGACAGTGTAGTGAAAGCTGCCTACACTGTTACTACGATAGATCCCTAGGTTAGACAGAATAGGTGCACACGCTACTATCGCGTGTGCCCCCATGATTCTCGCTGAAACCACCAATAAACACCGTTAACGGCCAAATATATGATCGACGTCCTATTATTGTTCCCCCAAGGAAAACTCAGAATAATAGAACAGATCCCGCGACCCTCGCCTAGGGCGTGGGCCAGGGTCGCAGCAACAGCCTCGCACCCAGCCCCAAGCTGGTGCCTGCTGGCGACCGCTCTGATCCTATGAAGCGGCTTCCCTATCTAGAAGTGTCCTAATCTCCCCATTCTTTGAAATACTCTACAGTATTCGTTCCTTTCCCTGATTTTAGGCCTCTAGAGGCCACACCAGAGCACCATTGTAGTGCCTGTGCACTACAGACAGTGTAGGCCAGCTGTTCAGGAGCACACGTACTCCCCTACGTGTGCTCCTACGATGAAAGCACCGGCTGTATCCGACACAGCTATCAAATCTGGGGCTTCCACGTAGCCAACAATGGGAGAAGAGAAGCACGAGACGGAGGCGGCTCTCGTGCGAATACCAACAAGACTGCATGATGAGACACTGATGTGAAGCCATACTACCACACTCGGTAACACACTAGAAAGTTGGTGACGCCTGAAGACAGTTGGCTCTTCAATAAGGCGTGCCATGGGAGCTGAGCCTTCCTCACAACAGTTGCTCCCTTTTCTTTGAGGCAGGATGAACCTCAGTCCTGAACCCAGCATTCTAATATCTTACGGAGATAAGCGGGATGATTGTTCAGGGGAGCGTAAGATGCGGATGGTAGTCAACTACCAAGCTCTGAATGCTCTTACGCTAGCTCCTGGCTTTCCGCTACCTCCCATCCAAACTATTAGAGATGCTGGGGGCTCCACAATACTTCCCTACTCTTGATCTAGAGGCGGGATTCCATCAGATTCGTATGGCTAAGGAAGATAGATGGAAGACGGCATTCCACTCGATCATGGGCTAAACAACGGTGAAGCGGGTGACGAAGTCGTCCCAGTGGAGGGATGCGCCCTTCGGCAGAAGAATATATCCTCGCTTCCCCAGTATGCCAGCAGCAATACCAAAGAAACACCAAATAATCTGCAGTCTTGTTGAGTGTTCCATTTCCCGTATGGATCTGGACGGATATCTCAATGGATTTCATAGGGAGGCTACCATCAGTCAGTGGCTGTGATAGCATCTGCGTCGTCGTGGATAGACTCAGCAAGTATGTCCACTTCATCCCCTGTTAGGTTTATTTTACAGGAGGGAGTGACCCCATTATTAATTGATCACGTCTGGAAGCTCCACGGTTTTCCGAAAGGCATCGTTACAGACATGAGCCCGAAGTTCTTTAGCGCCTTCCGGCGCCAGTACACGAAGTGTGTTAACACTGACCATAACATGACCGTCTAAAATCCTCAGGAGGCACTCGGTCAACGTGAACAAACGCATGAGGCCCGTCTCAGCATTTGATGCTCTGTATCCCGCGAAACCAACAATGGCTTGACTTCCGCCTTCGTGCGGGGTTGATGTATAATATAACGGTGCATTCTTCGACCCGTCGCTCCTCTGTACTGGTCTACACCGAAACACTGTTGTCTAACCCCATTTCGAGCCTTTTCGTAGGGGCTATTCTCGTGCACCCGGCACTGCAGGGTTCTCCGCACAGGCGTCAGGTGCTCGAGAATGTATAAAGTAGAGCGCCAAGAGCGAGAGAAGCGCTCTTTGCTTAATCTATTTTCTGTCCATGATACATGCGAACCTCCTCGAGAGACTTCTCGCTGCCCTATTGATTGGGATGGTCCCCCAATCCATGGTCCCTTTCGCAGCTGCAACAACTAAGCAGACGGAATGCCTAGTTGCAGAAGCAGCAGTTGCAGCAAAGGAAGCCGCAGCAACACGGCCAGAAGCAACAGGGAAGCAGACGGTGGTATTGCCGCTGCAGACTTCTCGCTGGCCCCCCCATCCGCTTCCTTTTCCCTAAGCGGCCAGGCACGCAAAATGCGTGCTTGTGGATTAATTCGAATAATGCAACTGAACTGCTGGGAGCTCTTTCCATTAGTTGATTCCAATGTGCTTTGATGTTCAGTCAGGACGGGGAGTGCACGTTAGGGCCCTTCGCTCCTGATGCGCTTCTGCACCGAAGCGCGCGTCTCGCCGGCCGAAGCGCTAACCTATCCCACAGTATAGATTGAGGGAATGGGGCTCCTAGCGAAACCAACGCACATACCCCTGTAAGTAGTTTGCGGAATACGGTCACTGGAGTTCGAACCCACTACGTACAGCGTGGCAGTGGACAGCACGAGCAACAGAGTAAAGCGACAGAGACGCTTTACCCTGTTGCTCGTGCCGTGCACTTGTGTAATATTAAATGCATCAGCCGCCCTCTAGAAAAGGGGTGAATGCCCCGTTTTGATGCGGATATCATAGCCTATTCAGAAATACGCAGTGAGCTTCCGTCGCCGTGCAACATCAGTATACCCGTGAGATACGGCCCGTATTGTTCTTGAAAGGGTCCAAGCCCCAAAATGCTATGCAAAAGTTGGCTGCGCCCTCTAGCTAGCCATCGGCAAAGAAAATAACGGAGTCACAGCTGGAAGGTAGTGAAAACCGGAGAGCCTCTGAGTAGAAAGATACGAAAGCGGTTGAGCAATTGGCTGCAAATGAATGTGCACGCCCACAGTTTAAGCTGTGCTGCCGATGATGCCCACCATTGTAGTTGTCGTCGCTGCGCAGAGGAGGGCATGCAGACGTTTCTGAGAAATTGCTGCGCAGTAGCTTCCCCTTATGTCTATGTTTTCTGCCCCTCGGAAACTTAACTGTAATGCTCTCTTTTGCCCTGGCCTCTGCGAGTCGTTGCATGTGCATGCATTATCCAAGGAGCCTCACTTCATTATAACTGAGTCTTCTCCAGGTACTCCTTCCCGTAGTGACACTCTACTTGTTTTGGAACTTCGAAAGAAATGCCAATAATGTCCTCAAGGGTAGGAGAATACTAACGTCAAACGTATGGTGATTTATCTACTCTGGGCGTAACTCTACGATGTACCCCAATGCGCTGACCGAAGAAGTCGCACAAGTATGCACTTCTTCGTTTGCTTCCTCCTGCAGGACAGAGCCCTACAATCAGCCCGCCTGTCAATGGGGATGCAATAGAAAACAAATAGAGGAACGGGTTTAAATCTGATTTAAATTTATAAATAATACTTGTTCGCAGTGCAAAGTTTGCCATGCTGTCAGCATGCAGCGCCACTGCCCGCTCAGTGCTGTGGAGAAGTATAGGCAATATTGTTTTTAATTCGACGGACTTGCTTGATTTTGCAACCATTGTAATGAAGTAAAATTAGCATTCCTGAATTATGGTACTCCTATCATCCTATACCAATCGGCACACTTATCATGCGGCTACGAAACAGGGTATTGATAGTTGCACATGAAAAGACACCCCACACAATGTCAATCGTTTTCGCTAGCCCATCAAGCAGAGCACCCAAGAGCCCTTGGTCCTCCAATCCATGCCCACTAGAACGTCACCGACACACTTGACGAGGGCGCGCTAAAGAGACAAGAAGCAGGAGCTCGCCCCCCTTCTTCCCCCTCAAATAGGTCAGGCAAAGGAGACTGCCAGGCTGTGGAAGAGGGAGCTGGACCGGTCGCGGGACCTTCTTGTAAGTATGAAAGGGAGACAACATCAGAGCCTCTTACAGTTTAGTAGAAGGACCCTGTGCGAAGGTCGGCGTGGAGCAAACCTACTGGGGGAATGAGCTAGGGAAATATTACTCTTTTGCATTGAATCTATCTGAGTGATAATGCGAGAACAGGGGTGAGTAGGGATTAGGCTTGAATAAAAGAAAGCATGTTCCAGCGCTTCTGCAATGCTAGCCACATAGCCCTTGGCTGAGATGGTAGTCATCCGGAGGCAAGGGGACACTAGGGGTACTTGGCTAACTTTGCAAAGATAGATGCTCTGCTTCACGGGTAGAGATGCCCGCAGCAGAGGTTGTGGAATATTGCGGGGCTAGTAGTTGAATCTCCTATCGAAGGGGGCTATAGTTAAGCTACCAGAATGAAGAGAAACAGCAAGCGCCTTTCTTACGAATCATTGCTATGCACTGTACAGGCCAGATGTGGGATTGGGGTTTGCTGCTTACACCTGCCCCATGGAGAACGATGCACTACGAGCAAGTGAAAAGAGAATCTGCTGTCTTATTACTGGAGTGTTACGAGGAGCAATAAAGTTAAAGTACTTAGGATAAGTGCTTACAAGTAGTAGGCTGCGCTCTTCTCCTCAACTTCCCCCCCTCCCCATAGTCGCCAGTCCTCGGGCGTCCTAATCACTGTGGCTGAGGTGCTGCGATATGAGATTAGCTGCAACACACTTGCTGCTGCATCTACTGCTGCAGGGCAACCCCACATGCAAGGGGAGCCGATCCCCCTTTGCTTCATGCACTACCCCCAGAGACAGCAGAGGGCAACCTGCATGTAAGTAGAAGAACATATCTACCAACTTCAGCAAGGCCAAGCTGCAAGCATCAATTGAAGTCAACAGACAAGATGTAGCTGCTGCACTAGCTGTTATACTCTGCCGGTGTTTGTTGCTGCTTTTCTGCTAACTCTTCAACAACAGTATAAGAATATACTCTCCAAGGAGATAATACGAACAAATATTGCCTTCGAGAGCAGCTGCTGCTGTTGCTGCTGCTGCTGCTGTGCTGCTGCTGCAGCGTCCCCGTTCAATGTGACCAGACACTTCGTGCAGTTGTGCTGCTTGCTGCTGCTGTCTGATCGCAGGCGAGCAGCTAAAAGATACGTTGTTTGTTTTTAGGGTTATTTACGGTTAATTAATGATATAAGCTGCATTAACAAGTTGTTTATACAGAAGGCTGCACTTGAAGGCCCGACAAGTGCTGCCGAAGCCGCCCGCGTGCTGCTGCAGGAGCAGCAGCAGCCTCGCAGGAGCAGCAGCAGCAGCAGCAGCAGCAGCAACGGAAGAGCGCAGGTGGAGGAGCAGTAGCAGCAACAGGAGAGACAACGTAGGAGTTTCTTCGAATATTTATTCAGTGTTGCTGCGTCTGCGGTGATCTGCGGCGCGCAGCAGGAAGGATTTGGCGAGCAGCAGCAGCAGCAGCTGCAGCAGCAGCTGCTGCGGTTGTCTTATATCATAATTGTTGCTTTCGTGACCATCAAGGAGTTCTGCTAGACAATCAATGAGTCTGCTGCTTGCAGTGAGGTAATAAGCTGCAGCAGACAGACACGAAACAGAAACACAGAGGAAGGCGCCAGTTGCTAGTCGCCGCTGTCGTGCTGCTGCTGCTGCTGCTGGTGTTGCTGCTGCTGGTGCGAACCTTGTTGCTACAGACATCCGAAGGTTGCAGGGACAACTTTGTAACTTGCACAAACGCGCAGAAGGCAACGACTTCATACCACCAGCAGCAGCAATAGCAGCAGCAGCAACAGCAGCAACAGCAGCAGCAGCTGCAGCGCCAAAGATCGCTGCGGTTGTGGCGCATCTCAAGTTCTGTTTCTCTCTGTCTCCTCTTCAGGCGGCATCATCTTCCATAGCAGTTTTCGCTCTGCAGTCTCTCCTGCTTCCCCCTTGTCTGGCGCTGCTGCTGGCGCTGCTGCTGCTGCTGCTGCTGCTTCTGCTGCTCTTCATCGAGAGAGCAACCGCATGGATACGGGGACAGACAAACCGACTGCAGTTGGATTCCGGATTACTGCTGCAACAGCACCAACTGAGACACCAGCAGCAATAGCAGCAGCAACGAGGGCGGCAGGGCCAGCAGCTAGAGCAGCGGTAGAGGCAGCAGCAGCAGCAGCAGCAGCAGAAAGGGCAGCTGCCGGCTCAAGATGAGTCCTCAGCCCAAAGAGCCCTCCGAAAAAGAGGAGGCGCACCCGCCTACTGGGTACCACCAACACTAACTCAGCAACAGCAGCAGCAGCAGCAGAAGCAGCAGCAGCAGCAGCAGCAAAAGCACCCGAGGCACCAGCAGCACTTTTTAACAGCCGTTGCAGCTGAAGTGTTTTGCTTTCCACCCTGAGGTGCAGCAGCTGGCTTACACACCCTATCACTGGCCAGAGATACAATGAAACCCACGCTGCAGCAGCAGCAGCGGCAGCAGCAGCAGCAGCAACAGCAGCGGCAGTAGCAGCAACAGCAGCAGCAACAGCAGCAGCAGTAGCAGCATTAGAGGTGGCTTCAACAGCAGCCAAGGCGACACGCGCATTGCGGCTGCGTGTTTCTGCGTTCTCTACACCGGCGCAGCGGCAATAACAGCAGCAGCAGCAGCAGCCGCTGCTGCTGCTGCCACTACCGTGGCAGCGACAGCTGCGCCTGACTGCCTAAAACAAAGCCTCCAGAGCAGCAGCATTGGCTGCAGCAGCAGCAGCTGCAGCAGCAGCAACAGCAGCAGCACGATGGGGCGCTGTTGGCTGCTGCATTCGTTTACCTCCCTTGCGGGGGCCCCATACGTAGGGCACCGGCACCTCCGCTACTCTGCTGCTGCTGCATATCCCAGCTACGGTTTAGCAGCAGCAGCAACCGCAGCAGCAGCAACAGCAGGAGCAGCAGCAGCAGCCGAAATGAGAGCTGCAGCAGCAGCAGAAATAAGAGCTGCAACGGGAGTGTATGGAGGGTTCGGCCTTAGCAACTGTCCTTTGTTTAGCGGCACCAGCTGCTGCTGCGTCTCTTCGTATTGCCGAAGTAGCAGCAGCAGCAGCAGCAGCAAGTACAACAGCAACAGCAGCCATGGGAGCAGCAACAACTGGAGTAGCAGCAGCAGAAATAATGCAGCGCTCCTCAACGGCCACACCGGGATAGCTTCTGTTTGCGCCCCCCGTAGAAGCAATAGCAGCAGCAGCAGCAGCAGCAGCACCCACAACGGCAGTAGCAACAGCCACAGCAGCAGCAGCAACAGCAGCAGCAGCAGCAGCAGCTATCCATTTCTGGAGATAAGGACTAGAGCCTCGCTGAGTGGGTTCTTGATGAGATGCACTGACACCCGCACATTTCCCCCCGGCTGTGCGGGGCAGCTGCTGCACGATCTGCAGCAGCACCTGCTGGCAGCAAGCGGCGCTGCTGGAGCAGAGGCAGCAGCAGCAACAGCAGCTGCTGCCCGCGCTCCCCCTATGTTTGCTGCTGCTGCTGCTGCTATTGATGCTGCCCGAAGGACAACGCAGTTTGCCTCGCCGTTTATGCAAGCACTTAACTTTTCTTCTCCTTTCTCGCAGCAGCTGCAGCAGCAGCTGCTGCAGCAGCAGCAGCCCTTTTGTTTGACTTGGAAGCTGGGGGGTTTACGGGAGGTTCACATCCCCTCGTCGCCTGCATTTGCTGCTGCTGCTGCTTTTGCTGTGCCCTCTCCAATGGCAGCCACTGCACAGCAGCAGCACCACCACCATCTGCTTTGGCAGCCCCAGCAGCAGCAGCAGCAGCAGCTGCAGCAAGAGAAGGAGCGTGTGACAGCCGAAGAGGAAGAAGAGGCGTCGAGACATCCTCTCCGTTCGCAGGCCCACGACGATCTGCAGCAGGTGCAGCAGGAGCAGCAGCACCAGCAGCATCAGCAGCATCAGCAGGAGCAGGAGCAGCAGCAGCAGCAGCAGGCCATAGCAGCCCCCTTCAGCAGAGAGAGGAGGAGTGAAGAAGAGACACGAGGGCCTGAAGACAAAAGAGAAGCCGGTCAAATAACCTGGAGAGAGGCTTGGCATGTCTTTGGTGTTGCTGCTCTTCCTATGGTTGGCTTCGGATTGATGGATCAGCTTATCATGATACGCTTAGGAGACGTAAGCAAACACCTCCAGCAGCAGCAGCAGCAGCAGCAGCAGCAGCACTGGTAGCAGCAGCAGCAGCAACAGCAGCAGCGGTAGCGAATGCAACGGCAGTGGTAGCAGCAGCAAGAACGGCAGCAGCACCAGAAACGGTGGCACTGGCGCTAACGACAGGAGCAGCACCAGCAACGGCAGCAGCAGCAACAGCAGCAGCAGCAGCAGCAGCAACGGCTGCAGTGCAAGTAGAAGGGGCACTTCAAGGCATAGAGGGATATTATAGAATTTACAAACACACAAAGAAAAAACTATAACGTAGAAATACATCTAGAGACTCAGAGACGATAAGCATGTCTTCCTGCTTCGTGCATGCATGCATATGTGCATGCGTTGCTGCTGCTGCATTTGTGCTGCAGCTGCTGGATACAACACTAGGAGTGAAGTTCGGGTTGGCTACGCTGTCTGCTGCTGCTGTGGGGCAGCTGTGCAGTGACACTGCAGGCGTTTTGTTTGGCTCTACCATCGAATCGTGTGCAAGTAGACTAGGCTTCCCGCCCCCTAATCTCACCGCCGCTCAAAGAGCTTCTGCAGCATTCGGGTAAGCAGCAGCAGCAGCAGCAGCAATAGCAGCAGCAATAGCAGCAGCGAAAGAAGCGGGAGCAGCGGCGACAGCAGCAGCAGAAAGCAGAAGAAAGTAGCATATATATGAACTGCACCAACAGTACCCGCACCAGCAGAAATAGAAAGAAACAGCTAAAAGAAGCTGCAGCAACAGCACCAATAACAGCAGCAGCAACATGGGAGAGCACCAGCAGCAACTCCATCAACAGCAACAGTAGCAACAGAAGTAGCAGCAATAGCAGCAATAGCAGCAGAAGCAACAGCAGCAGCAGTAGCAGCAACAGCAGTAGCAGCACAAAGAGCAGCAGCAACAGCGGCAACAGCAGCAACAGAAGCGGCAGCAACAATAGCACCAGCAACAGCAGCAACAGCAACAGCAATAGCAGCAGCATTTGGAGCTGAGCAATACAGCTGCTGCAGGAGAATGAGCCGCAGCAGCTGCAGCAGCCGCAGCTTGCATCTTGCACGTGCTTGCTGAGTGTATGGATGCTGTCTATTGTCTCTGGTGTTTGTTGTTTTTAATTCTTTTGTAATTGTTTCTAATTACATCAGCAGCAGCTAACTGAATTAATGTATTTGCATGCCTTCAGGATAGTGAAGACACTCGGCGCGGCTTCGGGCGTTTGCTGCGGCTGTCTCCTGGGAATGCTGCAGCTGCTGGTGATTGATTTAGATAAAGCAGACAGGCTCAAACACCAGCAACAAGTAAGGCATCAGCTAGCTACTGCTCCGACCTAGTCGTGGTTAGCTAGCTAGCTACCTACCTACCTACCTAATGTACGAGCTAGCTAACTGGCTAGACAGTTAGCTCGTTGAGTAGCCAGCTAGCTAGTTAGCTAGATAGCTAGCTAGCTGGGACGTGCGGCAGCAGGTGGAGGAGCCTGCTTCATATACAGCTGGGTGGTGCATGCATGCATGCATGCGTGCGGTGTGCGTACAGCTCGATGCAATCTTTGAAACGGTTTTAATTGAGGGGCCGAAGCTCTTCCACTGCGAGAGGGTAAAGAGGCGACAACCGCTGCTGATACACACCGCAGGCCTGTCCAGCTAGCCAGCTAGCCAACCAGCTAGCCAGCTAGCTAGTCAGCTAGCCAGCTAGCTAGCTAGAACGCTGTCTAAGCTTATGCCTATGTAGCTAGTTAGCTAGCTGTACAACTATACAGCTACATAGCTAGCCAGGTAGGTAGTAAACAGCTAGCTAGTCAAACAACTAGCCAGCTATACAAGCCTGCAGTAATATTTGACAGCTAGCTAGCTAGCCAGCTATACTAGCCAGATAGATGGATAGATAGCTTGAGAGCTAGCTAGCTAGCCATAGACCTCCCGAGTCGTACACATAGCTCGCGAGGCGAGCTAGCTAACTAGCTATCTAGCTAGCTAGCTAGCTAGCTGTATCCACTGTTGAAGTGGTTAATATTATTCATATTATTCATAGGGTATCTTTTAATGTTTCTATCGAATCTGCATGCATTTATCTGCATTTCCTTTTTAACCTTTTCTTGTATTTTTCCGTCTTTTTCTTTATATTTCGTCTTATTTCTGTTTGTTTTTTCGGCTGCTGCAGGCAGCTTTGTTTGTGTATGACCCTAGTCGCGACGAAGTCTGGTCTAAGGCTGTCTTCGGAGAAGGCAGCGCAATTCGCATGCATAAAACAAAAAACAAATGCATCACCACTTGGGTTATGCAAAACAAAACCATCCTCAACTGCCCAGAAGCCTCAGAGGTAAACATATATATATATATATATGCATGTATATACATATAGTGTATATATATATATATATATACATTTATACATATAGTATATATATATATATATATATATGTCTGTCAAATGCTATATGTAAAGAGGGAGAGAAATGATATATATATATATATATATATGCATATATATATGTATATATATATATATATATTCACACATACAATATATATAGTGTATATATATGCATAAATATATTTCCGTCCTCGACTGTACATTGACTGCTTTGTGCTGTTGCGTCTCCTGCTGCTGCATCTGCTGTTGCTGCTGCTGCTTCTGCTGCTGCTTTTGCTGCTGCTTCTGCTGTTGCTTCATATCCTGGTGATGCGGCTGCTGCTTATTCGCTACTGCATCTTCTGCCCGTTTTTTGCTGCTGCTGCTTCTGCTGCGTCTGTTGCTGCTGCTTTCGCTGTTTCTGCTCCGTCTGGTGCTGCTGCTTGCCTTGTAACTGTTGCTGCTGCTGCTGCTGCTGCTTGTGCTGCTGCTATGCCTTTAGGACCCTCGTTTCAATCCCGAATTCGATGAAAATTTTGAGCAGAAGACGCGCAGTGTATTGGCAGCTCCGGTGATGGATCGCTCAGGGGAAGTTATTGCTGCGCTCGTCTTCTTTAATAAACACCCTCAATTCACAGGACGCTTTTCAGAGGTAAACTAACCAACACTGAATGCATGCATGCATGCATCATGCTTCATTGTACTGGTGAATTGCATGCATGCATGCATGCTTCAGCATGTACACATCTATGGACATTGGTGCATGCATGCATGCACGCATGCATGCATGCATTGCCGTGTCTGCATGCATGCATGCATGAGCGTCTGTGCATGCATGCATTCATGCATATATATTTTGGTACATGCATGCATACATGCATGCATGCATGCATGCATGCATGAATGTTTTTGTTTTATTTACAAGTAGAATGGTCCAAATGCATGCAAGAACGGAGTTGGTGTGTGAGTGAAGGTGTGAAACCCTGCAGTGTACATACACTGCAGAAACTCTCCGTGCATGCATGCATACATGCATGCATGCATGCATGCGGTGTTTGGGGCTTGGGTTTGCCGCAGGATGACGAGCGGATGGTGGAGATGATGAGCCGGCATATGCAAATTTTTATGGAAATGTTTGAATACGGCGCCGCTGAAGACAGAAAAATGATTTATCTCCCCGAGCCCAAAGAAGCATTTAAGCTCTCAGGGGTGGAGACAGAGAAGGAGAAGAAAGACAAACACATCACAACACAACATGCAACGCTTGGCGCCCACACCGACAGCAGCAACAGCAGCAGCAGCAGCAACAGCAGCAGCAACAGCAGCAGCAGCAGCAGCAGTGCAGCAGGCGGGAGCTGGCTGCAGAAGTTAGGAGACATTTGGTCAACTGCAGATGCAACATCAGGAACGCAGCACAAGCAGCAGCAGCAGCAACAACAACAGCAGCAGCTGCAAGGGCGGGAGCAGCAAAGGGAGCAGCAACACCGGCAGCAGGACCATAGTGGCTCATACAGTTGCTGCTGCAACGGCTGCAGCTGCTGCAGCTCGTGCGTGCTGCTGCAGTCTCTGGGGAGTCCTTGTTTGAGTTGTGTTGGCAGCTCCAGCGCAGCAGCAGGGGGGAGATCAGGAGGCAGTCTTAGCTGGGCCCCAGCTGCTGCTGCTGCAGTTGCTGCTGCTGCTGCAGCAACAACAGCAGGAGTAGAGCTAACCACCGTGCAGGGGAGGGTGGGGTGGTGGCTTCGCTGGCTGCGTTGTTTGTTTGAGGGAGACAACAGCAGACTGGAGCTGCAAGACAAGTCAAGTGATGCAGCAGCAGCAGCAGCAGGAGCAGCAGGAGCAGCAGCAGGAGCAGCAGCAGGAGCAGCAGCAGCAACAGCAGGGGCAGCAGCAGCAGCAGCAGCTCCGGCAGCTGCAGCAGCAAGCAGAGAAGAGGGGAGACGCAGGGCCTTCTGGTCTTCTTCTCACCACATTGGGGAGGAGGAGACACCCCAAGGAGACAGTGCAGCAGGTGCTGCTGCTTCGCGCAGCAACCACAAGAAGAAAACAGCAGCATTTTTACCCTGGTATACATCTTCTCACTGGCACAGCAGCAGCAGCAGAAGCAGCAGCAGCAGCACAGGAGCGCGGATCGTAGAGGTTGAGCGCTGATGTGGCTGCGCGTTGCAGCTGGCGGGGCGGTGCATGCAAATAAAATAAAATATTAATTATAATATTTGTTTATTTTTCTGTGCATGCATGCAAGAGACCCCCACACCCACACTAACACACTCCATATCCACACATGCATGAATATATATGTTTATTTATATATATTTTATAATATATATATATATATAAATAAAAAATATGTAAATATATATATTTACATGTGGGTATATATATATAACTCTGTATATTTATATGCATATGCTTGTATGTATAGATATGTCTAGATGTGCGTCCAGATGATATACAAATATATTTTTATATATTTCTCTATATAGGCATATATAGATTTATATATGTCTAGATATATATACACACAGTATGTATATATATGCGTATATATGCATTTTAATATTCAAATATATATGCGAATATATTGTATAATGTATATATGTATATATTATATATATATATACATATATATATATAT